ACATGCCTGCCCTAGTGGAAAATCTAATAATACATAAACATTGTATTCGTGATTAGAATGAAAAGTAGCAAACCAGGACTGTTTCCTCTCAGAAAGGAAATCTCGAAGCTTTCCAGGCATCTAACACTCATGCTTTAGTAATATTAATATCTCTTGAGAAGTGAAACTCCAGCATAATCTTGAGAATAAAAGTGGTTATACAAGGGAGAACCGGGAGAAATATCAACAACCTAAGATATGCAGATGATACCACTCTAATGGCAGAAAGTGAAGAGGAACTAAAGAGCCTTTTGATGCGGGTAAAGGAGGAGAGTGCAAAAGTTGGCTTGAAACTCAACATTAAGAAAACCAAGATCATGGCATCCGGCCCTCTCAAGTCCTGGCAAATTGATGGGGAAGAAATGGAGGTAGTGACAGATTTTATCTTCTTGGGTTCCAAGATCACCACAGATGGGGACTGCAGCCAAGAAATTAAAAGACGCTTGCTCCTGGGGAGAAAAGCTATGGCAAATCTAGACAGCATACTAAAAAGCAGAGACATCACCCTGCCAACAAAAGTATGTATAGTCAAGGCTATGGTTTTCCCTGTTGCTGTGAAAGTTGGATCATAAGAAAGGCTGAGCGCAAAAGAATTGAGGCCTTTGAACTATGGTGCTGGAGAAGAGTCCTGCGAGTCCCCTGGACTGCAAGGCGATCAAATCGGTCAGTCCTAGAGATCAACCCTGACTGCTCTTTAGAAGGCCAAATCCTGAAGTTGAGACTCAAGTACTTTGGCCACCTAATGAGAAGGAAGGACTCACTGGAGAAGAGCCTAATGCTGGGAAAGATTGAGGGCAATAGAAGAATGGGATGACAGAGAATGAGGTGGCTGGATGGAGTCACTGAAGCAGTAGGCATGCCCTTAAATGGACTCCAGAAGATGGTAGAGTACAGGAAAGCCTGGAGGAACATTGTCCATGGGGTAGCGATGGGTTGGACACAACTTCGCAACTAACAACAACATACAAGGGATAGGTGGACATTATACAGCAGGGGTCTTCAAACTTGGCCCTTTTATGACTTGTGGACTTCAACTCCCAAATTCCTCAGCCAGGCATGCTGGCTGAGGAATTCTGGGAGTTGAAGTCCACAAGTCATAAAAAGGCCAAGTTTGAAGACCTCTGTTATACAGCCTTGAACTTAAAATGACTTTGCAGTAAGAATTTCTCCTGTCCTTTTGAGTATTAGGATTTATTAATGAACCTGGTCAGCAAAGTGGGTTTGAATCATTTTCTCCCATTTCTATCTGTTCTGGGGACTGTTTAGTAGAAATGAGAATCAAAGTCATGGCACCTTGTAGTGTAAATGAATCAAGTGTGCCTCTTCTCCTGGTATTTGTGATAAATTGTTTCCAAATTGATTTGTCAGATACAGCTGTAGGGGTCAGAGCTCCTAAATTATCAGCTAGAACATTAAAGATATACTGCAGAATTTTGCCAAGATGGGAAGAAACAATGGAAACAAAAGAATGGGAAGAAACAACATACTCTATGGGGGATTATACCCTTTCAAATTCATTCAGCAATAGCCGAGAGTTGAATTTCAGGCCATTCCTTAAGGCAAGGGTTTCCAACGGGGGGGGGGTGCTTGCACCCCCTGGGGTACGAGGCGATATTCCAAGGGGTGCAAAAAACTTGAGTTTTCAAAATTATAGTGTATATGCATAATTTGTTGCCGTTATTTCGAACTTTTGTAAGGGGTGCGAGAATATATCAGAAGCGTTCTAGGGATGTGGGGTATAGAAAATGTTGGGAGCCGCTACCTTAAGGCATGCAGTTTTAGAACCTACATAAATCGTTGTATAATAACAAAAAAATGTTTCTGTGGTTTTCAAATATGATAAGAAAGAGTGTCTAACAAGCGATCATAAGTCCTTTTGCACATACCACAGTTTGAAGAAGGCTGAATCTCTTCATCTACTTGCCAATTAATGCTACATTTGGGAAAGAGTTCCCAAATATCTGCCAGGCATATCCAGGCCGAAGGTATTCCGGATGAGAAAGATTTAGGGTTGTTGGTTACAGGGTGGAAACATGAAAAGATTTGCACATCTCAAACTTGCTGAAATTAGCTTTGTATCAGATGAAATGAAATGTTTTTTAAGGGAAACTTTATATTTGAGCTAATTTCCCAGGAGATACCTATTGTTGATGGTTAGGATCAGCCCCACAGCCACCTGTGTTCTAGTGAAGTATTTTCTTAGGAACAAATTGTAACTGCTACTTTTGGAGTCAGAATAAGTAAGGCTATATATTCTGGAACACCCTTGGGATAGGACATTCCTGCTCCCTAACCCTCCAAATCCAATCTGCTTCTCCCCACATAATTCTATCAAGACTGTGTCTTCTTTGTCACAGTAGTTTATAATATTGCAACTACATCTTATGCCAAGCTGGAAATGTGGTGTATCCAGAGAGGCTCGGGAGAGATTAATGTCAGTCATAGTCAGCCCAGCTTTAGATTTCTAAAATTCAACATTCCAGTTGACCCTTCCCTTTTATCCTGTGAGAAATGGCTTGTGCTTGATCTTCAGGTAAATGCAGGAGAAAGAATTCTCAATTCCCAACTTCCATTCTCGTTTATGGTAACTCGCTGAGTTGTTAATCAGATGCAGAGTAAGAGGTTAGACCTTTTGCACATGGCCTGTTTTTGGGCTAGAGATGGGTGAGACATCTGTAATGTGTATATTTGCAGATGATGGAAACATGTTAAAGGTGAAGTAGCCCCGTGTAGAGATTAGGCCTGTCTGAGTATTTTTCTTTTTTCCAAGCAGCCAACACTGGGATTGTCAATCACACCCATTCCCGGATGGGATCCATCATGAGCACAGGGATTGTCCAAGGTAAACCTGCCCTTGGGCTTTTTTGGAACTGAGGGGAAAATGGCCCTGCGTGCTCTCTTCTCCTCTGTAGGATTTTGAACACTTTGGCTGAGAAAAGTAGTAGGTAGCATGTTGGGTTTGAGAAGGGGCAAATACTTTTACAGTACATTTTGAAACTGACATTATCCCTGAAATTGAAACAAAGCTAGATAAAATTCTAAATGGAATAAATTCTAGTTCATTTTGCCATCAGACCAGTTTGCATCAAGGCAGGTTTGGGGGCACTATGGTTATTGACTGTTTTATTCTGGCTTGAGTTTTCAGGAGCAAGAGCCTGCTATCTTTGGTGCATAACGTGGACTAGAATTGAGCAGTTGAATCATTGGCATTTTGTAGTCTTCTCCATGCAAGAGGCAGCAAGCTCTTCCTTATAGATGGAACTCCAAAACAGCAGATCTCCTCTTTATTATTTCTTACCCTACCCTCCCATGGCATTAAAACTACATTTTGCCAGTTATATTACAAAATCTGATGTTTTGATTTTAAATTAAAATTTGCTAGATCAGGAATGGATCTGGATCCACTTTTAGAAAATAGGTGGCTAGTTGTGCTTAGACTTTTTTTGCTGAAAACTAGAATTTCTTCTGCTATCCAGCTGAATGCTTTTCTCTCTTGCTACAGGCTCGTCTAGTGGTCAGAGTGGAGGAACTTCAACTGCTCATTACCCAGTCAACAGTCAATTCACTATGGGGGGACCAGCCATTTCTATGGCATCCCCGATGTCTATCACCACCAACACAATGCATTATGGGAGCTAAGAAACCCTCATCCCTGAACTGACAGCATCAGGAAACCAAATGAAGAAAAAGTTCCACCTCCCCGTCCACCTCCCCACTGTATCTAAACAGTTGGCAGTCAATTCTCTGGATTTCTTCTGCCCTCCAGTAAGTTACCCAGAGATGGTCTAATCATTACACAATAGAAGACAAAAACCCACTGGCTTAATAGCGGACTTGCATACAATTTTCATGAAATGTTGGAAATTTCAACTTGCTCAACCACGACCGAGTTCCTGTGCTGTGTTACAACCAATCATGTCAGTAATAGTATCGTTCTTCAGTCTGCCATGACTGATTGGCGTTAGGCACAGGCTGTAGATCTGAACTGCCATAGGGTCTCTAACATGCTCTAGGCAGCCCACCAATAGAAACTTGATCATTTATCGCTACTCCCAGTATTTTAAAAAAAGGGGCTGCAGATGGCTGTAGAACGGCATAGGTAAAAATCCAGCAGCATATCCATGTCGATTTTTTAGGCATCCTAGTCCCTGGACTAGTGTTTGTTGCATTATTAAGACTTAGGAGGAAAGACAAAAGACGTATCAACTTCTTGGCTTTCAGAAAAGCTCCAGCATCTTACTGCTGTAAGTCTTGGGCCATGTGAAAAACATCAGAGATGAAAAAAGATTGTTTTATGTGCCACAAGCATCTTATCAGCAGGTCTGATGATTGCCTGTCTCTTGGGAATATTGATGTAGCATCAAAGGGTTAAAAATTTAAAACACAAATGTACCAAAAATATTGTTGCTGGCTGAAAATGGTTTGTGTATCAATTTCCTGTTGCTCATTTTAAACCTAATCCCATTTTCTGGTCCGTTCTTAAGGTGTGGCAGCAGCTATCATTAGCCCCTCCCTCCTCCTGGGCTGAAGTGGGTGCCAACTGGTTTAGTACTAGACTTGTTTGCTTCCCGCAGTAGCCACCAGGAGACTCTAAATAGATTGGCAATTGTTATGGGGTCCCTTTGTAGTACTTTTATGTGTATTTTGTAACCCTTTTTTTCCTTCTGAAGAGCCTCAAGTCAATGTTTCCAAAAGGACTTGACAAGCAACTATTTTATGGAAGAGAGAAGTGGTTTACTTAAGGCAATGTTCTTTGGGTCCCAATAGTGGCTGAATTGGAGGGAGGCGGTGGGACCATTTTGGAGAGGGAGAGCCTTCATAGTGGCTGAATTGTGAGTCTATAAAGCCAATTGTTGGGTCTGGCTAATCAATGATTTTGTGACTATTGAATAAAATTGGGAGGGTTTTGAAGATCTGTTTGTAGTGGCTGGTTTCCCAATCCCACGTTTAGATGAAACAGCTTGAAGGTTTATTTTTATTCACATATTCACTGGACAATCCTGTTTTGAAGCACAGTTGATAGAAGTGCATTCACAGCACTTGAAGTGCTCCTCAAATGATTTGACTTTCCTTAAATTGCTAAAGAGCTGCCCGTTTCTCTCTTCTAGTCATAGTTAAGGAAAGCTTAGGAAATTATTAACTTGTTGCCCGTTAAGCTTTTTGTGGCTACCTTTGACGTGATCACAAGTCACACTCAGACAAGTCCTGGGTACAGCAGAAGTACTGGCTTTTTAACAGGCATTCCTGCAAAGATCTGCTTTATATTAATGTAGGAAGTTAAGAAAAAGCTAATGTACTTTCTAGAGATGATAGTGTAATTCAAATTAGCCTTGCATGCCAAAGAAATTAACTTTAAGTAATTCTTTAAATGACCTAGGATTTAGCTGAAATAGATGTAAGAGACAAACCCTTCATGCAGCCCAACTCTCCTGTCCTATTGTAATAGGCCACCCTGCTACAGCAGAGCAAATGGCAGCTGCATCAACCAAAGCAGCTCTGAATGCTTAGAATTGCCAGGCCTCACAAGTGGCTTCCAGGGTGAGCTGCTTCCTAAATCAGACCAACTGCTGGTGTGCTCTGGCTGGCAGCAGCAAAAGAAAGAATGTTGAAATGGCAGTGCATGACTTTGCTTGCCCCACTGGGAGGATCCTCTTCCAGGTCATTGTTTTTATGTCTCTTGAGCGGGTGTTTCTCTTCCCTGATACTGGATATTCGAGATCGACGTCTGTAAAAGAAGCAGTTCAATAGCACAAATATTGGGGAGAGATCCAGAGGTCAAACCTTTCCAACAATGTTGTGATTCTGCATTTCCATTAATATGGATAAGTAAAAGGGATAGTAATACTTGAATTAAAATACCTGATGCCACTACATATTTTTCACAGTCTAGTGTAGGGTATTATCAGTTTCCTTTTCCCTCTGCTGCAGTAAATGAGGGTGTATGCTTCTGCTGTTGAGTTGCTGTTGTGTAAGCAACAGGAGTAGAAGATGTGATGCTTGGTTTCTGAAAGAAATAGAGCTTCAAAAAGACAAGATTAAATTGGTTGAAGCAGGAATCAAATAGGACTCTGCCTTCCCCCAACCAATAACATGGATTTCATCATCATGACTGTCCTTACCCAATTTCTTAAAATGTTCAAGGAGTAAACAGAGCAGCTTTTTTATTCCAGATACTTCACAGATACTATTCACTTATTCTTCTCTCTACCCCAACCCTTACCCTTCAGGATAGTTTGATGAGTAACACAATGTTCAAAGCCCAAAGATGCTTTTTCATGAGGCAACTGGACTTTGCTTTTTCTTTAAAGACGTTTCGCTTCTCATCCAAGAAGCTTCTTCAGCTCTGTTTTCTACAGACAAAAACATGGTTACGCCGTGGGTTCACCTGTGTCCCCCATTGTGGCCAGTCTCTACAAGGAAGAGGTAGAAACCAACACCCTAAATTCCTTCACAGGAATTCCACCCATTCACTCTTATAAGTATGTGGACGATACTTGGGTCAAGATCAAAACACAGGAATTGGAAGCATTCACCAAACAACTCAGTGGACAAATACATCAAATTCACATGGGAAGATGTTAAGGAAAATAATCTAGCCTTCCTGGTCTGTGCAGTATACATTAAGGAAGACAGAAGCCTTAACACTGAAGTTTACAGAAACCCCCCCCCACACACACACACACACAAACACACAAATCAATATTTACATTTTGATTCTCGCCACCCATTGGAGCACAAAATGGGAGTAATCAGAACCCTACACCACTGAGCTGAAGGCCTGCCTACCAGCAAAGATAGGAACTTGTGGCTATCCCAAGTGGGCTTTCATAAAATCCCAAAAAAGACCCAGCAGCAGCTCCTCCATAACAAAGAAGAAAACAATAAACATTCCATATGTTGCAGAAATATTGGACAAGCTCAGCTGGATCTTCAGTCAACACAACATACATGCACACTTCAAACCCAAGAATACACTAAGGCAGACATGTCAAACACAAGGCCTGCGGGCCAGAAGCGGCCTGCAAAGTGGTTTCATGTAGCCCACGAAGCCATCCTGAAAGCGAGGGAACAGCCCCCGCTGCCTTGGCCCTGGACAGCCGGGAGCCAATGTACAATTTTGTGGTGGCCATCTATGCTGAAACGCATTCAGTGTTAGCTCCACAAGGCCATCTGGAAACAGCGAGGAACCAGCCCCTGCTGTGTCGGCCCCGCCCCCTGGGTGCATGCTGAGGAGGTGTCACCCTTTGTGAGGAATGAAGAAATGCACCATTGCCTGGAAGTGGCCAGCAAATGGCCCTTGCCTACTTCACATATCTGGCTTGATGGGCTCTGGGGGAGGGGTTTCGGCAGGCAGTGGGGCGCTCTCCTCACAGCACCAAGAGCTGAGCCAGGTGGCGTGAATCTGATGAGAAGTGCAATGCTGCCTAGCCCCCAGCCTGCCCAGTTTCAGCAGGCAGCAAGATGAAAAGCTGACAAGCTTCGCACCGCCCGGCTCAATCTCTCGGCGCTGTGAGGAGAGCGCCCCACTGCCTGCCGAAACGGGGCTGGGCGGCATCATGCTTATTTTTGGATTCGCGCCGCCCGGTTCAGTCTCTTGGCGGTGTGAGGAAAGCGCCCCATTGTTGCACAGGCAATGTTGACTCTCACGCTGCTCATGGCATCCCTTCCCCCAGAGCCCACCAAGCCAGATATGTAAAGTAGGTGAGGGCCATGTGCTGGCCACTTCCAGGAGATGGTACATTTCTTCATTCCTCACGAAGGGTGACACCTCAGCTGCGTTTCTTCCCTGTTTTTCTCCCTCCCTCATCAGGAGGAGAGGGAGGGTCTGAGGGAAGTCCTGCCTGCCTTAGTCCTGCCCTGCTGCCCTTTCACATCCCCTTGCCCCCTCCTCCTGGCCTATCCTAGGGGTCTCCCATCCTATTGTTAAGGAAGCTTTGGATACAAAGCCAGGTCTCCTCCCATGGAGAGGGAATGGGTCTCCCTCTTTGCCCTCATACCCATCATGAGCAACCTGGCTAAGGAGAGCAAGCACAGCAGCAGCAGCCTTGAGGAGGAGACGAGTGCAGCTGCCCCCCCCCCTTGAGGAAGTGGGGCTGGGCTTGGTGCCACGGTGCTCGAGGGCCAGGCTGGGCATTTGACCTCTGCTGCCCAGGACTCTGGGCAGCCCGCACCACCATCCAGCCCCCCCCCCACATGGCCTGAGAGGAACAGTGAGGCTCCTCCAATGGACCATGCCTTGGCACTTGCCCTGGTCCCACCCCCTTCTGCCAGAGACCCTCAGATCTGTCCCACTCCTGCCCAGGCCCCCACAGGCACCTTTGATGCGAATGATGTAGAGCTGGTCAGACCCACCCAGTAGGCTGCACCCACCCTGGCCACACACACACACCCCGAGGGAAACCACAATGCTGATGCAGCCGTCAATGAAACTGAGTGACACCCCTGCACTAAGGCAAAAGCTTGTCTGACTCAAGGATCAAACACCCAAACACAAACAGCAACGTGGTATATACAGTACAGTGAAGTGAGCCATGTGCAGATCTGTACATTGGGGAAACAAAACAACCACTTCATATATGCATGGCACAATATAGGAGAACAAACCCATCAGGACAAGATTTAGTAGTCCATCTGCGTTTAAAAGACAAAGGCCACTCTTTCGAAGACAGCAAAGTTCACATTTTGGACAGAGAGGACCACTGGTTTGAAAGAGGGGTCAAAGAGGCCATCTCTGTCAAAACTGAACAGCCGTCTCAACAGAGGGATACGACATCATCTGTCTTCAATCTACAACACAGTACTTTCAACAGTTCCAAGAAGGCTCCACATCATTTGCACCACTCAGGTGACCCTGATGACACAGATAAACTTCCAGGTGATATCGGCAACTCTCTAAAAGAAGGCAAATGACCAGCTGTCTGCAAGGAATATAAATCCTTCCATTCCCCACCATCCAGTCAGAGCTGAAGAAGCTTCTTGGATGAGAAGTGAAACATCTTCAAAGAAAAAACAGGCCAGTGGCCTTGTAAAAAAGCATCTTTGGGATAACTATGATCTGGATGACTGAGACAATGTTCAAAGATGTTCAGTGCTTTTAACATCTTACACTCTGCAATTTGCAACAACACATGCATGCACATACACACACCTATAACTACACACTTTGAAAGCATTTAATCTTTATTTTCTACTTAGAGACACATGTTGCAGATAATGCATTTGGCCCAATTAAGAAGACTGAATCTAACACAGTCCACAGAAAAAGGGTGATTATGCAGAAAAAAAATTATAAATCCTAACTGAAACATATACAAATCAAACTCTTTCACAAAATATGTTAATCTAGGTTCAAAAAACAACCCTAAACATGCTTATTCTCCAACTGTCTGTTTCTTTCAGCAACTGAAATACACTAGTGCAGTACAGAAGATACATACCTTGCATCCAATAGCTAGGAGGATATGAAGAGAAACAATAATGGCCATTACAGCACAAGCAGCTGGCTTGCAATCTGAACGGATAACTGGCCAAAAAGTAAGGACCAGAACTGAGCCTGACAACCCTATTGCAAGTATGATCAGGAGCCACTGCAGCCATGGGATAGGGATTAGCCACAGAACCTGTGAAGGAAGATAACAGTGAATCATTGTCAAATTCTTAAGGTTGCCTTGAAAAAGAATTCATCTTTCCCCCCCCCCATGGCGATTCCTTGCAAGAATATATTCTACAGAGAAGAATGATAAATTTGCCAAATGCCTGACAACTTACCGCAGTAGGAATGTACACAAAGAGTGAGTAGCCATAAATGCACACCATTTCCAGGAAGGTATACACATCACTGGTGACATGGGCTCCCTTTCGCCATTGTAGATAGCCCCACAGAACTAAGGGTACCAGCCAGGCATAGCAATAGATAACTATCCCTGCAATAGTCACTGTGGAAGAAGAAAACTGTATTAAAAGCACCATTCCCTAGCAAGAACTAAAACTGAAACAGCCTTCCATCATTTCTAGAAAGAGAATGGAATAGGAATTCAAAGAATAAGCTAATTACGTTTTATAATAATCTGTAAAATAGTCCTTTATTACAATTTTGATTTTTTTCCCCCACCTTTACGTATAATTCAAGATGGCAAAAGTGCCTAATATTCCTGCCTCCTATTTTTCCCACACCGCCCTGTGAAGTGGGCTGGTCTGAGAGATAACGCCTGGTCCAAACGCACCAGACAGTTTTCATGCCTAAGACAAACTCAGTCTTCTGGTTTCTGGGCAAACTGATTCTCAGTACTGGTAAGTAAACAATATATGCATTTGTCTCAATTCTAAAGCAATTAAATAAAAGCTGGGAGCCAGGATTTCTATATTTTTAATAATGTTCTTCATCTGCACATTTTAAATACAAGACAAGGAAATAGTTCTTTACTTCTCATGGCCAAACGAGAAATATTCATCAGTATGTATGAATCAGGAGCCATGGTAGCTCAGTGGTTAAAAGGCTAACTCTGCCTACTGTCAGGAGGTTGATCCTGAGCGGCTCAGCCTTCCAAGTAGGTAAAATGAGGACCAGATTGTTGAGGGCAATATGCTGATGTTGTAAACCACTCAGAGAGTGCTGTAAAGTACTATGGAGCAGTACATAAGTCTAAGTGCTATTGCTGTGTATCAAAATGCTCAGCAGGCAACAAAAATAATTTTTTTCCACATATTTATCTTGCTTATTCTTGATATGGCTATACTTCCACCAACCATAGTCACTTCACAGTAAGATGGGTGGCATATAAATTTATGTGTTTCTGTATATAAACTATATACAGAAAAATGATTAGCAATATAATTCAACCAGTAGTATACTATCCTCAGAACTGAAGTTCCAGGAAGCACTCCCGCATCAAAATCTCACCTTTGTGGAATTGAGGGCTGTAGTGGATGGAGGAGCTCCCTCTTTTTTCCAGGAAGTAAGATAAGTTACCACTGATGGCTAATGTGAATATCAATGTGGCACAGATCCAGAAGGGTCCTATGAGGGGCAAAAGAGCCATAGAAAATAACAAAAGTATGAGGAGTCTCATAAGGAAAAGGTGTCTTATCAGCACAATAGAAACAGGAAAGCTATTTTTATAATATAACAAAACAATTGGGTAGCAGTAGATTTTACCATCTTTCTTAATTTAATGGAAAATAGGGTTTGGGGACAGATATGACTAAAAGCACTAAAGTTACCGTATTTTCCGGCGTATAAGACAACTGGGCGTATAAGATGACCCCAACTTTTGAGAAGATTTTCATGGTTTTAGCAAGTCATCTTATATGCCGGAAAAGATGGGTACTTTAACTTTCTAATAAAAGTAATGTAAGTCCTAAACACATTAGCATTTCATTCTATTTTATCGCTTGTTCCTGATCTGCTGAAGACAAATGTAGCTGGGTAACATCCCATAATAAGCGTGGGGGTGCACTTGTGAAGCTTTGCAGTATATGAGGAGGACTAAAGGATAGCGGGAGGGGGGAGGAAAGCGGGTCGCGGCGCTAGCCAAGCCCAGCTGTCCAACAGGTAGAGACTTTGGATCCATTTCCTCCAAATGGATCTGAAAACACCCTCTACTCCCACTTGCCCGACCCCCAAGGCTGCCCATGCCGGGTGGGGCTGGCAAAGCAGCGCATCCTAAAGTCCGTCAGTAGAGGCGCCTGCCAGACTGTGGGCGGATTGCTCTGTCATCTGCGCAGCAAGAGCACCAGCCACGGTGGCAGGTTGCCAAAGAAGCGGCCGAGCACGGAAGAGGAAACGCTGAGCGTCCGTCCGTCGAGGTCCCAGGGCTTCTGGCGCTCAGCGTGACGGCACCGGGTGTGGTCAACCTCGAGGAAGCGGCACCCTCTGCGCAGATGCCGGCTCCTACCAGCTGCTCCTGCCAGCCACCCGAGCAGAGGCTGGTGGCGGGGATGTTTCCCCAGGGGAGGAAAAGCCCCATTCACACCGCCTCCCTCCACCGCCCTAGACTGGGAGGGGCAGGATCCCCGCCTGGGGGGTGGACGCTTCTGCGAAATTGCTGGCCTTCTGCGAGCGCTGAGCAGCACTTCGGCAGCAAGGGAAGCCCCCGGCGCTGACCCAACACAGGCATTCTTACTCAGCTGGCTCTCCGCCAGCACTCCTCTCCCGCCAGTGGTCCGCCAACACTCCAACCTCGCCCCTTCCTCCTGGCTGTTTCTCGAAGGGACACTTTTCTAGAGCTATTTGGCTGCGTGGGACTCTTAAACTCTCATCTGGACAGCCAATCCCCGCGCCAAGGGGTGAGGAGCATGGGCGCAGGATACGGGGGAGCTTGCTTTGATGTATCATATTTTCCGGCGTATAAGACGACTGGGCATATAAGACGACCCCCAACTTTTGAGAAGATTTTCATGGTTTAGAAAGTCGTCTTATACGCCGGAAAATACGGTACATTTCCATTATCAGGGATAAGGAGAAGGAAAAATGGCACTTTAGCTAAAATGTTGAAAACCCAGCAGCACTTTAAGAATGAGGCATGTATCTCAGCACAGAATTTGAGATCTTGTGGGAAACAGAATCATCCTTGAAATAAAGAAAACTAACCATAGTGCTTCAGCCTACTATAGCTCCTTGTGAATGCAGAAATCCTGCATGGCCTTTCCCAGGTCTGCTATAATGGGCTGAAAACCAAGGACTGCTACATGCCTTGTGTGCATTTGACAGTGTAAATGGAAAATTAGCAACGTGAGGCTTTCTGCAGATTTCTTGCATCTGTGAAGGTAAAGCAAGAAACTACCTTTGTTCTATGTCTCTTACAGTTTCTAGCCTTTGAAATAAAGAATATATTTTTGGAGTAGGAATTTCTCTTGGACTCACCATAGAGGTCAGGATTGTTCTGCAAGTGATGCCATACAAAGTTTTTCCCTGGTAGCGGAAGTAGGGAGCCTTTTATTCTGTCCAATACCTGATAAATAGAAAAAGATCATGCCTCAGCAATTTAATTCCTGAATGCTCTATAACTGTTGGGACGCCCAACTTGTTGGTGCCAGGATGCTTACAAAAACTTCTTGTCTTGCTATTCTTATATTAAAAATGGCATGGTGCAAAGCAAAAGGCTAGTTTTCACCAGAATATTTATTTCATCAAATTGATCCCATAATGCTTGCTTAGAAAACTTTTAAAACTGCCTATCCGCAGCCCAATAGCTTCAGTGTTTAGTGTTCATTCAGTGTTTCATTCTTTTAGGGTCTAGCAATAAAAATTCTGAACCAGTGCAACATTGATTCTGCTCAAAACTCACTAGGTTAAGGAATTATGTAATTAAAAGAATATTTAAATGATTGCCATGTTTAAATTCTATTTCCTGAATTCTGGAGTTTAGATTACTCTAAACAAAAAACTTTCAAGAAGTAATTTTGGCACATATTAGAACTGCTTTCAGAATTTGCTTTTTGGATTTGCCTTTAATACATGGCCCCATGGATTCTAGTACCTGGTATGTGTCAACATTAAAGAAGGCCTGGTAATATTCAAACGTCCAGAAACTGGAATGCTTCTTCTGGAAGCTCAAGAGCTGCAAGAATGAAAATGGAAATTACTGCTTTCTTCATGTCCAGGAGAGAAAAGGGATATATTTTATACTGACATTAAAAATTATAAAGGTAAAGTACAATTCTAATATACAATATCCATAATATCAAATAGTTACAACATAAAAAGCAGTTATTTCAAGATAGAAATGATCGGGTCAGGAGGCAGGTCAACATCTACTGAAATTTCCCAAAGCTTTTCAAATACAGCTCCACTGCAGAGCTCAAGGTGTGATTTAATGAGCATTGAGATAACTGACCAGGAACCAACAGTGCACTGTAATTGGCAAGTATTCTGCTTGGCTAGGCCAGTAACTGACAGTGTAAGGATCAGTCCCAGGCTGTGAAAACCAATTCTGTCAAGTGGCTTTTTATTAAACTGGAGAAGCATTGAGTGGGATATTGCACAAATCAGTCCTGGTCCTCTATTCTTCAATACTTTTATTCACAATCTGGATGAAGAGAACATTTGTTAAAATTACAGATGCCTTTAAAATGCTAAAGGATGAGCTGGTTCTAACATATGGGACTTTTCCCCACTCAGTTTTTTCACCTTAATTACATTTACATATTTGTCTCCTTTTTGATTGAACCATCACTTGTATTTTCCCCCATTTATTATATTTTGTTATATTTCACAAAACATAAAACAAAAGTAATAATCCACTGTTCTAATGAATATTAATGTCGATAATACGTTAATACTTTTATTATACATATACTTTTTCGTTATTAATCTAAAATTCTGAGAGCGAGAAAGAATAAAGATGATCAAGGATGGGAAATGAAGTATAGTGAGAACAGACTGAAGAAAAAAAAGAATCCATTGGAGAAATGGGGAATCCATGGCGGCCCCAATCCTTTGAAACAGCCTCCCCACTGGACTTCGGAAGGTCCCATCTTATTAACCTTCCCACTGACTGTGTGGACCTCCCTTTTATTCAGGTACTGGGCTGCACAGGAAGTGACCCAACAAATATAAATAGAAGCTAGAATAAATAGTTCTACCTGCAGGATATGTGAAGCAGCACCCTCTCCAAAATTCTGCTAAAATTCAGCACCCAGAATCTGCATTTTGTGAATTTTCTTAATCCCTGCCCTTAAACACCTTAACTGCTTCCCAAAGAGCCAAAAATTGGGCTTACCTCTGTTCTCTCATTTAAAACCCTTCCACAGCTTTTAAGAAAACTGCCAAATTGGAAATCATAAGCATCTTTAGGGGATTAAAGGTCATATGGCGGCCTGAAGTCTAGACCCTCAAACATTGCCCATCCTGACTAGTTTCAGAGGTTTGGTATCAGATAGGAACAATGAATTCACCATTGTTACATTGATCCCTGTATTGTGGTTCAGTTTGCTAATTTTTCTATTTTTGTAAATTAAATTATTATTTCTGCCCTGTTCATGTTAGTTTGCTAACAGAGTTAATTTTACACCCAATTTGATGCATGAATTCCAAATTAAACAATTCCTTTTTGGAACTTTAATGTCAATTTGTCAAGAAATACTATAGCCAAAGTAGAAAGGCTCCCTTGAATCTTGGTCTCAGAATGTATGTTGATTTATGCTTAAAACACAGAGTTTGCAAGATCACACTTTTCAAAAACATTGTATTTTTTGCACATATTATTCATAGTTTGATGTTCCACTAAAATGGTAAGCAACATATAGTCTTCTCACCAGCTTCTGAAGATCCAGGTAAGCACTGAGTTAAGTTATGCATCTTTCTTCTTCCCAAGATATTATTTGGAGTAAGTTCATAGTTTACACTTATAAAACTTAAATTATTTCAAATGCTGGATATATTCTTTATCAATTTTGTTTTCTTTAGCTAAAGTGATCTATTTGCTGGCTAGGTAACTAGTTTTACTCATTAGACAGTCTGATCTCAAAAACTAAATACCTCCAGTGGTATTGAGGGTGGTGTGAGAAGGTTGCATGAAAATCTCAAAGGACCTACAAACTGCACACATTTCCTGTAAGGGAAGAGGCATCCCAAAGGATTAGGAGTGGACTTGTGGGCATAATTAAATATTATAAACAGTTGAATAAAAATCATCAGTTACAGTGAAAAAGTAGGGATGTGTCAGAAATTAAGGTGCAAATTTTCCTATTCTTTCACATTGGGGTAAAACAGGCATCATATTAAATGTATATTGAATATTGAGGTCAAAATTCATAGTGGTCAGGGGAGGTAAGATAATTTACCTGATAGATAACCAGTGGTTAGAGTGTTGGGCTAAGGCCTGGTTATCTCAGTTCCAGTCCATCCTCACTTATGGAAGCAAAACAAATAACTTTGGACTAGTTATCCTTCAGCCCAACTTTACATATTGTGCAGGAATGTTATTGCATAGAAAATTAAATTCTGCATATACCACCTTAAATTTTTGGAAAAACATAAATTTAGCAAATATATAAAACAGATACATTTCTAAGTTCCTCTGTCACATATTGGGAAACATATTTTCTGCAATAAATAAGTATGTCTACCACACTCTGGTAATCAAAACTTTTACTGATATCCTATTATCTATTTCTCTCATGTGTACTATATTTCCCAATTTATGTCAAAACATCCCTAGACTAAATTGATGCATCTTCCTCTATCTCCCCCAAATTCACCTCAGTTTTGTCATCCTCTTCATCTGGCTCATAATCCTCATTACAGCTGGAAGACATGTTGAGAGTTGTGTGGCTTTGCCTCTCACTAATGCTAGGAGTAGTAGCATCAGCATTCCCAGCCAGCAAATCTATGGCTTCATTAAATTCTGCAGAGAAAATATCCAATTGACTCAAATCAAACTTCAGTCTGGCGTTCAAAGACCATCTGCACCAGCACTTTCTAAACTTAGGAAACTGTGCTAGTGCTGTACTAAATTAAAAACAATTTTAAGTATTTAAAAAGCATGTGATAAAAGGCAGAAAAAAATTGAGCTTTTGCAAAGAACATGGATTTTCAGGAAAAAAAATAGGAAATTAGAAGATCTTTCCTCAGAGATTGTTGGAGAAATCTCAGAAATATCAATGATGCCCAAAGAAGAAAAGGTATCCACCAAGTTTGGGTTTTCTTTCTCTTGTCTAAATGTAAGACTTAGAAATTAAAAGCCTGCCCAAACATGCACAACATACATATATGACTCAGTATTTGTCAAACCTAGTGGGGGGAAAGAGTTACATTTATATTTACAGGAACAGGAACATTTTATTCATGCATATTATTCACAACAGTTGTATTTCCCTTTAAGCTCTACTCAATTTATTATTCTTTATATATTCAGAAAAATCAGAATATACTGCAGCTGAAGAGTATGACATGGAAAATACACAAACATAATAAGAATTGTTCACTAAAGTACTGTATTTCATATTCAGAGAATACTCAATAGGTTTAAGACTGCAGCTTTCTCTGTACTTTAATTTAGTCTAGTATGTATTTTTAGTTCCACTAAATTCTGTAGTTATACAGCTCTTTTTACAGAGCCCTGGAAGTGCAGTGATTAGAATGCAGTAATGCAGGCTAACTCTGCCCATAGCCTGGAGTTTGATCCTAAAGAACTTGAGGTTGAATCAGCATTCCACCCTTCCAAGGTCTGTAAAATGAGGAGTCTGGCTGTTAGGGGCAATATACTGACATTATAAACTGCTCAGAGAGTCCTATAAAGCACTATAGAGCAGTATATAAATCTGTTGCCATTGTTGCTGCTTCAGTCCTTAACAGCAGGCAGGTCCTCAGAAGCTAGGCAAAAAAATCTTTACAGGTAGTCCTTGTATTACAACCATTCATTTAGTGATTGAAGTTACAACAGCACTAAAAAAAAAGTGACTTATCTCCCTTTTTCACAATTCTCAAAGTCACATGATCAAAATTAGGGTGCTTGGCAAGTATTTAAGACAGTTGCACTGTCCTAGGGTCATGTGATCATCATTTGTAACCTTCCTAACTGGCTTCCAACAAGCAATATCAATGGGGAAAACCAGATTTGCTTAACCACATGATTTGCTTAACAACTGTGGCAAAAAAAGTAGTAAAATGAGGCAAAATTCAACAAGTACCTTGCTTAGCAATGGAAATGTTGGACTCAATTGTGATCGCAAATCAAAGTCTATGTTTACTAACTGGATGCTCTGGGATGGCAGCATCTCAAACACAAAACCTATCGAAAGGAAAACATTGCCTGCCTGGGTGTCCATATCTGTTTAAATGGTGAGAAAATACTCACCATGAAATTTGAGCTCATCTGAAGCAGCCATTATGAGCCCAGAGTACCTACAAAGGGAAAGAGACAGCTTTTCAGAGAAGACATGACTATGAAAGGCAGCTTGGGGAATGGGGCAGAAGACACCCTTCAGCCAGTCGGTTCTTTCTTCCCTCATCCACAGAAACGCCAGGCGGCTCTCTCAACTGCTACTCCCACGACACACCAGGCTTGCCCTACCCTGCTCTCACGCACATCACCTGGGAGAGATGGAAGGATGGGCAGAGGATGTCAGGCGCTGCTTACCGACTGTGGAAAGGCACTCTGCAGATGCTCAGAGACGCCTAGGGCCACACTCTAGCCACCTCGCTTGCGAAACCGTCCCGTTTATTCCACGGTTCTACGTCGTTCACAGGACTTGCTCAACCTCACTACGTGGAGGGGACGGGAAGGAGAGGAAGGCCCAGCCCACCGCCAAGCCGCGGAAGGCCTATCGATAACGAGAAAGATCTGGCGCTTCCTTCGAGTAGCCGAGGAGACTCCTCCTCTACCGGTTGCGCTAGGAGGCCGCCGCGGTTTCGTCACGGGCCGCCTAGATTATCCTTCCCCTGCCCCAGTTGTGGCCACCGGAAGCGGGGGAAGGCGGGCCTTGTTAGAAGCCTTGCATTCCGCGCCTGATTCTTTGGTGGCAGAGTATTTTCCTGTTTATGAACATTTATAAATAGCTGCGGCCGTAAAACTGTGTCGAAGCTGGTCCCTCGTGGCAGCTTTTGCCTTTCGGGAGGGAGAACGGACAGCAACCATGTGATACGCTGCCCCTTCCTTCCCAGCTCTGACTTCCTCTTAGTTACTGTTTTGGTGGTCAGTCGCATATCAGGACGAGGGGACATGACGGGCCCTCCGAATCCCGGAGAGACGGGGGAGAAGAAGCCGAGCTTTGGGGGGCGTCTCCGCGCCGGCCGCCTAGGTAGCCGAGTCCGCTTTGCCCCTCGCAGGCCGGGGAGGGAGGCTGCTTGCGGCGCGCCTGCTCCTTCTCCTCCCCCCCCCATCTTTCTTTCCCGCTCCTCTTAACGTGATCTTTTCTTCCTCCTCAGCCTTATGGTGGAAGAGTCTCCTGCACGACTATGCTGAAGCCTGCCGAGAAGTCGCCCAAGGCATCCGGCAGCGGCCAGTGAAAGCAGGGCTCTACCTGTCACTGCTGGCTGGAGCAGTGAGCTGCAGCCTCCGCAATCCCAGTGAAGCCTCATTCGGCTCCAGCCTCCTGGAAGCCTCAGGGATTCTCCTCCTCCTCTCGCCCTGGACACGCAGCAGCAGCTCGGAAAAGCATACCCAGCGGCTGACGGTGCTCCGAAACCGAGGCCAACTGCGCGTCCAGAACCTCGTGTTTTTCTCCGTCCTCTACGAGGCGCCTTACGACGTTGGAGCAGACCTCTATCAAGCACACTGCAAGTATCTAAAGCCACGGTGGACTGATTTTCCCAGCCGGGTCCTCGATGTAGGCTTCTGGGGGCGCTGGTGGGTGTTGCACTCTAGAATGCAGGATTCAGACATCAACAATGAAGAGTTTCAGTACCTGCCAGAGCATCTCAGGACCATTTTTTTTAATGACTTGCACTCGGAAGCCAACGAGAAACTTTTTGATGAGAAGTACAAAGCTGTGATTCTGACAGAAAAGCAAATCCAAGAAGCTGATAGGGAGGTTCACGGGCAACTGCATTCTTAATTAAAGCAGTTGGGTGATTCTAGTAATAGAAAACAAAACAAAACAGATACTTCATTTATTCCTCTTTCTATTTTCTTCTAGGGCTCAATTGTTCATTGCTGTATTCTTAGTAAGATGCAAGAATAAATGCTATTTAAACTGAGGAGATGATTGATGAGCAATTTTTAGTGCCACCTAAAGTGATTGAGAAATTGACAATAGACATCTCTTGGTAGTCATTTTTTTTCTAAATGTGATGTAAACCTTTATGCACATTGGAGGACAAATAGATCAGCCCAACACCTTTCCTGCCCATCTCATCTCTTCCCATATTAATAAAGGTAGTAAGGAAAGTTTCATGCTATTTGTTCCCCATCAGAAATGGAGCTCAGTTTCACTTCAGTTTCTGTTTGGATTTGCTAAAAGGCAAGGCAATATGGCTTCTAAGCCCCAACACTTTTTTTGTTTGGAAACCAGCATAAGAATATTGGAGTGGCTTTCATTTCTTTACATTTCAGTTACAGTTACTGTAAAATTAAGGCTTAATACAGTCTGCTTCATTTTCAAAAGATAAATTTCTCTGAATTGGTTCCAAGACCTTTCTATGTATTTTTCCAAGACATAAGTAATAGATTATCAAAATTCTGCAAATCTTTTATAAATTTTCTATACATCACTGAATATTGATGTTTTCTAAAAATCCAGAGGCATTTCCAGAAGGCAGAGGTTGCTGTAATTAGCAACTATTTTCCTCCCTAATTTGAGTGTACAATCTTGGATACTGGGGACTGCATCTCTTAGCACAACATATGGATCTGTTTAAAAATGTCATGTTTCTTAAACATGTTGACATGGCACTCATGGCTTCTTTGAGTGGGGTGCTATGTAGTTCACTTCATGTAGTTCACTGAGCTGTTTTCAGAACTGTCATAATTCATTGATCTGCATTGTTTGATTTATGGTTTAAGTACAATTAAAAATACAAGTGGGGAAAATAATGCTGGGGGGAAGACTGATAGAAAATTAGTTTTAAGAGGCTTGTTTGCTAAAAGGAACTCAAAAGATATGAAAAATATTAAAGAAATGTGACATGGAATAACAACAGCCCCATTCTACATTGTAAAATTGAAAAGTATTCTCTCAAATAAGATTGTATCATATCAATGTATATGTATGATTTTAAATTGGTTTGTAGGCACACTGCTAGTTCTTTCTGCCAGTTGGGGACTTACAGCACAAAAGTAGTATGAGATAAAAGTAGGTAAGATAAAATGACAACATGACATCATGTTTCTATAATATATTATAGTGATAGCTTAATAAATTACAAGTAATCTAAAATTTTACAGTCTACAAATTATAAATACTTCACAGGTTGTAATAATTTACTGTAATCCCAGATAAGATAGGAAGTCAACTGAGTATCCTTGGGCCTTCAATAGCAATAGCACTTGAATATTTATATATATGCTTCATAGTCCTTTATAGCACTCTCTATGTGGTTTGCAGAGTCAGTATATTGCCCCCAACAATCTGGCTCCTCATTTTACCAACCTTGGAAGGATGAAAGACTGAGCCAACTTTGAGTTGATCAAGATCAAACTCCAGGCTGTGAGCAGAGTTAGCCTCCAATCCTGCATTCTAACCACTGCACCACTACGACTCTTCAGCCCTGGGAAGCAGGCAAGAGAAAAACACTTCCAAAATCTTACCAAGAAAACTTCAGAGACTTTTCCTGGCAGTCACCAGGAGTGAAACACTGACTCAAAAGCACACACAAAAATCCCCCCAAACCTAATACAAAAAGAGCCGAGGTGGCGCAGCAGTTAGAGTGCAGTACTGCAGGCCACTTTAGCTGACTGTGTTCAGCAGGTCAGCGGTTCAAATCTCACCGGCTCAAGGTTGACTCAGCCTTCCATCCTTCCAAGGTAGGTAAAATGAGGACCCAGATTGTTGGGGGCAATGTAAATATATATATACACTGCTTACTGGTGTACACCGCTTAGAGAGTGCTTGCATTTAAAGCGGTATATAAGTCTCATAAATAAGTAAATAAATAAATGCAAGATTTACATAATAAACCTAAAGTCTATTGTTCAAACATACAGTACAGATAGGGCACCATTTTAGGAAAGGCTGAACTAGGGCCACTTCTTACTTCCAAGTAATTCATTGGCTTCTGGTCCTTTCCAGAGAGATTTTTCTTAATTTTTCACAGATTTATATAGACAAGTGGTGGGAGGGAGGAAAATGGCAATACTTCTTGTAATGATTTATATAAATTGATTAATATTGTACACCAACCTGTAGTAGAGTCAGGTGCAGTAGAGTCAGGTGGCCAGGTGGTATGCGACAGCAGCCAAAAAAGCCAATGCAATCCCCTGTGTTAACAGGGATAGAATCAAGATCACATAAAGTTCTTATACAGCTTTGTAAAGCCTTAGTAAGACCAAACCTGGAATACTGCATCCAGTTCTGGTAACCACAACATAAAAAAAAGATGTTGAGACTCTGGAAAGAGAGCAGAGAAGAACAACAAAAATGATTAGGGGGCTGGAGGCGAAAACATACAAAGAATGGTTACAGGATTGACTATGTCTAGTCTAATGAAAAGAAGGACTAGGGGAGACATAGCAGTGTTCCAATATTTCAGGGCTCCTATAAAGACAAGGGGGAAGGGGTGTCAAACTATTTTCCAAGTAACAGAAGGAAAGACAAGGAAACAATGGATGGAAATTAAGGAGAGAAGCAACCTAGAACTAAGAAGAAATTTCCTAATGGTGAAAGCAATCAATGGAATAGCTTGCCTTCAGAAGTCGTGGGTGCTCCATCGTTAGAGGCTTTCAAAAAGAGACTGGACAACCATTTCTCTGAAATGGTATAGGTCTCCTGCTCAAGCAAGGGGTTGGATTAGAAGACCTCCAAGTTTCCTTCCAATTCTATTATTCTATTTTCTATGTTCTAATAAATTTAATTAATAAAGCATACTTACAAAATGGCAGCAATCGGAAATGTGAAAAAGACAGCTGTAGTTACAGAATTTTGTAGCCAGATGGCAGAAGCAGTTGCTAAAGGGAGAAAAAAGCTATAGTAAGCAATCTGAAGAGAGAATTTCCTCCCTCCCCTCACTTGTCTATAAAAATCTGTGGAAAATTACAGAAAAATATCTCTGGATAATACCAGAAGCCAGCAATGGATTACTTGGAAGTAAGAAGTAGCCCTAATTCAGCCTCTGCTAGGCTGGTGCCCTGTGTGTATTGTATGTTTGAACAGTAGGGAAAAGATCCAAGTTAGGAAATGGGCAACACAGACTGAAATCTGAAAGTAGCAGATTACTGTTGACATCAGCAAAAATCAAATATTGCTCCTTGAAAATTAGAGTTTCTGTGTTCAATGACTGTTCTTTGTTCTCTCAGTGATCTTGGGCTGACTCTATTTCTCATCTAAATTTCCCTCCCATCCAAGGTACTTTGGGACATACTGTAGTAAGGGATCTTAGTCAAGCTGTCTTGGCCAGATTTTTTTTGTCAAAATTTTATTTATAATACAATTTAAAAAATTGGATATAACGTGACATTCCAACATATACATTCTTATCAAATTATTCCACATTTTACAATCGGTTCTTCATCTCTGAATATACATCTAAATTTTATATACAATACTTATTCTAAAATTACATATATTTTTATCTTAACACTAGCCTATAATCCCAACCGTCCTCCTCGAATCCTTCCAGCGGTAAAATTTATCCAAGGTTTTGAAATAAACTGATCTACATTTGTCTTTCAATACCATTGTGAGCCTGTCCATTTCCGCACATTGTAATATTTTATATAGTGTCTCTTCCTCTGTGGGAATTTTTTTGCTCTTCCATTTTTGTGTGAATGCTAGCCTAGCTCTAGTCAAGACATGTAACAGCAAATAGATTGTTCCATTATTGTATTTCTCCATGGTCATTCCCAACAGGAAAAGTTTAGGTTTTAACTCTAAGTCCAACATTAATATATCTTTCAGCCATCTTCGTATCCTATTCCAATACTCACAAGCCTTTGGGCATTCCCACCACATATGGTAATATGATCCTATTGCTGTTTTACATTTCCAGCATAAAGGTGAGATATTTTGACCCATTTTGGCTAGCCTTACGGGTGGGAAGTGCCATCTATAAAACATCTTGTAGAGATTTTCCTTGTATGAGGTAGCTAGAATGAGTTTCCTATTTCTTTCCCACAATTCTTGCCAAATATGCAGATCGATATTGAAACCAAAATCCCTACTCCAAATTAGCATAGTCTCCTTGACCTGTTCTTCATACATTGCCTGATCTAAAAGAAAGTGATATATTTTTTTAATCATTTTATCCTCGGGCCCTAATAATATTTTGTCTAGTTCTGTTGGTTCTATTTTTATAACCCACTCTTTTTTGTCTTTCCTATATCTTGCTTGTAGTTGGAGGTATGCCCACCATTCTAATTCTATCCCTGCATCTTGAAGATTTTTCCTCGATTTTAATTCTCCTCTCTCGTCTAATATGTTTTTATAAGTTATCACATTCCCTAACTGGATAAACCTTGGGTGTATATACACTTCTAATGTTGAAATCCAGTTGGGAACTTGTCTATAATTCCGTTGCCGGATTTTGGTCCATACATCTATTAACGCTTGTTTGATGTAGTGCCTCCAGAAGTACTGGTGAACTTCATGTTTCTCGTCCCATAACATAGCATGCCATCCAGTCTGCATGTCATGACCTTCCAATTTTAATAATCTCTGGTTGTCCAGTCTAATCTGTCTTGGCCAGATTTAAAGGGAATGGGATGGAATAAATATCACATAAACTGTGGAGACTGATAGGTACTATATGTTAAGTATGTGGGTTTGGGTTTTCAATTAATGTTTTGTGTAAACTCAACCAAATGTGTTTCATTCAGTAAACCATGGTTTAACATGATCTGAGAATCCAGTCGTTGTCTGGATAAAAGTCAAATTCCTTTATCCAGGTTAAATACCTTCTCCAAGTCTCTTCAAAATTCTCCAGTTTCTTTTCTGCCATTACCAAAATCACTAATCGTAAACATCCATCAATTTCTGAGGAAGATGTAGAGTGGAAAACAGAAAAAGTAACTTATTACATTGACTTCTCCCAAAAATATTTCAAGGC